AGACAATATCATTAATAACACATGCAAGTAAAATTTTGCTAAAGATGATTCAAAAACAGTTGCAACAGTACACTGACAGGGAACTACCAGAGGTTCAGGTTGGATTCAGAGGAGGGTGTGGAATGAGAGCTATCATTGTTGATGTTAGATGGATCTTACTTACCTGTGCTTTATTGACTATGCAAAGGCGTTCAATTGTGTGGATCATGACAAGCTATGGATAATATTGCAAAGTATGAGTATTCCAGAACACCTAATTGTGCTCATAAGGAAGCTGTATGTAGACCAAGAGGCAGTCATTCAAACAGAACATGGGCACACTGAATGGTTTAAAATTAGGAAAGGTGTGCAACAGGGTTGCATTCTTTCACCATACTTACTCAACCTGTATGCTGAGCAAATAATCTGAGAAGATGGAATATATGAAAATGAATGTGGCATCAAGATTGGAGGAAGATCCATTAACAACCTTCAATATGCAGATGATACAACTGTGCTCACTAAAATCAAAGAGGACTTAAAATAAATACTTTCAGTATGGGTTGCACCTCAATGTAAAGAAAACAAAAATCCTCAGCACTGGACCAATAAATAGCATCATGGTAACAGAGAAAAGACTGAAGTTGTCAAAGACTTCATTTTACTTAGAGCCGCGAGCAACGCTCATGGAAGCAGTAGTCAAGACATCACACGACGTATGGTGTTAGAGAATAATATTAATATTACCATTTACTGCCAGAAGAACAAAGTCTCTGTTGGAAGAAATACAGTTTTAGAAGCTCAGATGGTGGACTTGGTCTCTCATACTTCAGACATATTATCAGGAGGGACCAGTCCCTGGAGAAGGACATAATTCTTGATAAAACAGAGGATCAGCATAAAAGAGAAAGACCCCCAATAAGATAGACTGATGTAGCAGCAGCAGCAATGGGTTCAAACGTATCCCACTGTGACGACAGCAGAGGCCCGGGCAGTGGTTCAGTCTGTTGACTGTAGGACTGTTATGAGTCAGAACTGACTCAATGACACCAAACAAAAACACAACAGCTGCAATTGTCTCTCATCCAATCAGAATTATAACACAGTAGAAATGATTGGAACTTTGGAGACAGCCACACTGCGTCATTCATATACTTTTACGCACAGTACTTTACTTTTGGACAATGAAGAAAGGTAAAGAGCTCTTGGAAGACCAATGTCCCAAATGCACTGTCTCACAAGGGACCCAGGGAGCAGGGATGCCTGGAATCAACTTATGGCCACACCAGTACTTGAACCCCAGCTTCCTAACTCATCTTTTAAAGCCAAACCAGGGAAACACACCTCCCTAAATCTTAATATGCCCAAATGTACCTGAAGACCATCTAGTATGGTCCAGGTTGTTGTTGTTAGGTGCTTGAGTCGGTTCCAACCCATAGAGACCTTACGCTGAACAGAATGGAACACTAGCACCCCGGCCTCTAAGCCAGTTGAAGTACTTCTTCCAACACAGATTTGTGGTTCTTTTGGTGGTCCCTGGTACTTTCAATATTCTCCTCCAACACCGTAGTTCAAATGCATCAGTTCTTTTATGGTCTTCCTTATTTACTAGCCAACTTTCACGTGCATATGAAATTACAGAAAATACCACGGTGTGGGTCAGGCGCACCTTAGAACTCAAACTGACATCTTGGATCTTTGAACACTTTCAAGATGCTTTGTGCAGCAGATCTGCCTAATGCAATACAACATTTGATTTCTTGACTGCTGCTAACCAAAGGATTGAGTTCCAACTCCAATCTTGGACAAGCCACACTATCTCTTAGTTCCATCCTGTGCCACCCCCATGATTGGCTATGATTGGACTGTTTTGATCCACAGGGTTTTCACTGACTGATTTTTCAAAACAGATCACCAAGCCTTTCTTCCTAGTCTCTCTTAGTCTAGAAAATCCACTGAAACCAGTCCAGCATCATATCAACACACAAACCTCCACTGACAGATGGTGGTGGCTGCCCATGAGGTACACTGGATGGGAATGACACCCCGATCTTCTGCATGGCAGGTGAGAATTCTAACCCAGAACCCCACTGCCCTGGAGCCATACAGGAAATCCCCAGGAGCGTGCATGATGTTGGAGTGCTCATGGCCTCCTCTTGGAGCCCCCAGAACCTGCTAGAAGTGTGAGTCTGAAGGCCCACTCCAACCCCCTGAATCAGAAGAGTGGGGCCAGGCCAGCTGGCTGTGTTTTAACCAGTCCTCTGACATCCTCCAAAGCGAAAAGGGCTGGTCTTCCCCAGCAAAAGCCTGCCATTTCCTTCCCTACCTGAGGTTGGCTTAAGGGTTGGCTAAGGTGGCAGAGGACTAGTCTGCTGCCACCTCTAATATAAAGAGGTACGGGGGGCAAGTCCTTCTTCTTCATGTGGCATGCACTTCTGGAGCCACCGTGACCACACTGCTGTGCTGTGTACAGCAGAGAGGAGGAGGAAAACAAGGAGATGAAGAAATCCTCGGTTAACAAGCTTTGCTACTGCCTTACCTCCAACAGCTTCTCAAGTGTGACATACATGCCCTACACTTCAAGTCACTGACAAGATCAACAGCATTGATACCACAGCAATGTCACCTACAAATGACCTCAAATTTGTCTCCAAAATTCCCCACACTGATGAAACTAATTTTATCCACATTTAGATAGATAGATAGATGGATGGGTGGGTGGGTGGGTGGATGGATAGACAGATGGATGAGTGGATAGAAAGACAGAAGGTTGGAAGGGAAGGAAGGAGGAAAGGAAGAGAGGATGGAGGGAAGGAAGGAGAAAGCTGACAGGTAAAACAAGAGAGAAGAAAACAGGGACCTTCTCGAGTCTCACTTTCCTTCCTGGAAAGGAAATGGTCAATGATGAGGGGAGTAGATGTCAGGAGCCATGGGAGGCATCAGCAGAAGAGGACACCCTTTTGGCAGCAGTGGACTCTGTGCAAGTGAAGGAAGAGGGCAGAGAAGGGTCATTCTATCTTCACAGCCCTGACTTACTCTGAATGTCATCCTACTTCATAAATGGTTTTGAATCGCTGAGCTTCAAGGAGGGAGAGCACTTAAAGGAATGGACATCATTCCCTCCACCCCATCCCATCCATCCATCCATCCATCCATCCATCCATCCATCCATCCATCTACCCATCCATCCATCCA